TATTGGTTGTTTGCCAGAATTAAGCCTGTTATTAGTTGTTTGCTAGAATTAAGTTTGTTATTGGTTGTTTTCTAGAATTAAGTCTGTTATTGGTTGTTTGCTAGAATTAAGCCTGTTATTGGTTGTTTGTTAGAATTAAGTCTGTTATTGGTTGTTTGCTAGAATTAAGTTTGTTATTGGTTGTTTGCTAGAATTAAGTTTGTTATTGGTTGTTTTCTAGAATTAAGTCTGTTATTGGTTGTTTGCTAGAATTAAGCCTGTTATTGGTTGTTTGTTAGAATTAAGTCTGTTATTGGTTGTTTGCTAGAATTAAGTTTGTTATTGGTTGTTTGCTAGAATTAAGTCTGTTATTGGTTGTTTGCTAGAATTAAGCCTGTTATTGGTTGTTTGCTAGAATTAAGCCTGTTATTGGTTGTTTGTTAGAATTAAGTCTGTTATTGGTTGTTTGCTAGAATTAAGTTTGTTATTGGTTGTTTGCTAGAATTAAGTCTGTTATTGGTTGTTTGCTAGAATTAAGCCTGTTATTGGTTGTTTGCTAGAATTAAGTTTGTGATTAAAAAAAAAAAAAGTAAAAATACTGGTGAGAATGAGAAAGAAACACTTACTGTTGAAATTGGTCCATCAACATTATAGTCTAAACTGTATACATCCCAACCACAATCCCCTGGTGATATCTAAAAATTAAGAACAATAGAAAATTTATAGCTAACCTAGTGATATCTAAAAATTAAAACAATAGAAATTTATAGCTAAGTTAGAGCCTTTAAAATCTAAGTAGTTCAAATTGAATGGCTTAACAACCAGAAATATTAGTGCTAAAAAAATACTCTGTACCACATTGATATTTCTGCATTACTCTAAAAGTATTATTTTTTAGAAAAGTTTGAAAATATACAACTGTTAAGAAAAATAAGATAACATTAAAATAAAAACAAGTTAAAAACAAATTTTTCAAAACAGGAGAACAGAGTTCTCTGTTTTTTCAAAACAGGAGAACAGAGTTCTCTGTTTTTTCAAAACAGGAGAACATGGAGGAGGCATGGATGAGATGGAGGAAAAAATGGGGGAGAACAAAGATGGAGGTTACCAGAAATTAATAGCATTATTTTTACAATATTAAATAATAAATGTTGAGAAATAAAAAAGTGATTTACGTTAGATTTAAACTCACTTATAATTTTGTAAACATTTATTTGATATTCAAAAAGATATATATTTGAAAATCTTTGCTTTTTATTTCAATCAGCTTTGAAAGAACAAAAGTTAGTTTTTTGCTACTAAAAAGAGATTTTTCTTTTTTTTTTTTTTTTAATTTTCAATTGAGATTTCAATTTTTCAATCAAGGTTTTTACTTTTCCAATCAAAGTTTTTAGTTTTTCAACTAAGGTTTTTACTTTTTCAATCAAGCTTTTTAGTTTTTCGATCAAGATTTTTAGTTTTTCAATCAAGGTTTTTAGTTTTTCAATAACATTTTTAGTTTTCCAATCATTAAAACTTTTTCACATTATTAAAACTTTTTTTTTTCACATTATTAAAGCTTTTTTTTTTTTCCAACTTGTTATTGCTGCTTCACCTCTTTATACTACCCCTAAACTCCATACCCTCCAAACATTATTGTCACAAATAACTGCTTATTTAAAAATAAATTTTATACAAAAAAAAAAGTAATTTTTTATTTTATCAATATTTCTCTATTATATTATAAATTAAACATTTATCTAAAAAATAATCTCTATAAAAAATAATCTTTATAAAAAATAATCTTTATAAAAAATAACATTTATAAAAAATAACATTTATAAAAAATAACCTCTATAAAAACTAATCTCTATAAAAAATAACCTCTATAAAAATAACCTCTATAAAAAATAACCTCTAGTAATCGACAATCTAGTCTTTTTAAGATATCTTGATCATCAAATTGAGCATTGGTAGCACGAATAGCAGTTTCAAGTAATCCAGTTAGATTGTGCATATACAGAGAGTTTGCTGGTCGCATTAAGTCTGGTCTGTTAAATGCAACATATATTAATAAAACTTTATTGACTTGAAAGATATTTTAAATAATCTTACAAATTTAAAGAACAAAACTAGTTCTTAAGAGAAAAAAAAAAAAAAAAAAATTTTTTTTAAACTATAAGTTTTAAAATTAGGGTTAAAAACTATTTTTTGATCTGAGTAGAAATTTCTGTGTTAATGGATGTGTTAATTAGAAGAAGAAAAAATGAATAAAAATTTTCAGGTAGCTAAAAAACCACAACCAGAAATATAATTACAACAGGTGTTTAACAAAATACTAAATAACATTCTGTCTCTATAAAAAACATGTATTTAAAACCAAAATTTTTAAATATTTTTTTAAAAATTATGGTCTTAAATATTTCTTTAAAAATTATGGTCTTAAATATTTTTTTAAAAATTATGGTCTTAAATATTTCTTTAAAAATTATGGTCTTAAATATTTTTTTAAAAGTTTACATTAAAAGTTGAATTTAACAAAAAATTCTTATTTTTTCTAAAAAAATTTTTTTTTTCAGAAAAGTATTATTTAATCATAGGATGTTTCAGTTAAAAATTTATTCAAATGACTTAATTACAAGAATGGTAATTTTGAGAATGGTTTATAGTTAATTCAAATATAATGACTTAATTTTGAGAATGGTTTATAGTTAATTTAAATATAATGATTTAATTTCAAGAGCCCTCTTTTAAAAATAAATTGATGCACAACAACAAGCAACTATACTTAAGTAAAATCTTACTCAAGTAAATCCATTAAATGTCTAATAAAATCTCCTTGTCCAAGTAAGAGATATCTTCTCATTGCCTATAAAATAACTATAACAATAATTCAAATAAAAATTATAAAAATCTTATATTTCATGCAATAATTACTCTAAAAAACAAATATTATTAACTATAATCATAAATATTATTATAAAAAATAACTATAAAAATTATTATAAAAAATATTAACAAAAACTTAAAGATTATTTTTAAAATATAATATTTGATCTTTTTTTTTTACCAAATTAAAATAAACCAAATTTTGATTAATATCATATAAAGTACCTGCAAATGGTCTAAAAACTTATATTTGTTAAATAAAACGTCTAATAAATGTTTGCTCGTATTTTCATAAACAAGATCAATGAAATCCTGTAAAGCAGAACTATTAAGTTCATCCACATGAAGACTTTCTGAAATAAACATTATTATTACTTTAATTTTATTATAAATTAATTTTTAATAACTTTGTATTAAAAGTAAGTTAATTAAAATTTAGTGAAAAATTGGAACCTGAATTTCCTGCATTTGGTTTTTGAAGGTCAGAGTGACCGAAGATCGGTGATCTATCTTCACAAACAACTCTTATAAAATTAATTGACTTCCCAATATTTAAAATCTAAGAATATATATATATATATATATATATATATATATATATATATATATATATATATATATATATATATATATATATATAAAATATATATAATATACATTATATATAATGTATATTATATACATTTTATATATACATAAAGCCTTTGGGAAGGAAGCCCTTAGGAAACCAGAGGTCAGCAAATTTGCCATCCTTAATTTGTTATATGTCAGCATCAGGTCGGCATAAAAAATTTATTACAAAGGTTTTCCTATAAAATATAGAAATGAGATTAGCAATTTTTTGCCTACCATAAACACTTCTATATATATATATATATATATATATATATATATATATATATATATATATATATATATATATATATATATATATATATATATATATATATATATATATATATATATATATATATATATATATATATATATATATCAGGCTTGGTCGGGAAGCGGGAGCGATCACTCTCGATTGCTGACCATGGAAATAATATTTAGTTGCGAAAAGCTGGCCAGATTTTTTAGTCGTTTTGAGAACATTTCAAAAAGCAAAAAAAAAATGCTCATAAGATTAATTGGACTGATGAGAGACAATTACAAAAAAAAAAAATTGGGAAAATAAAATATCAAAAAAACTTAAAGGAAAATAATTTACATTTAGAACAAATATTTTCGAAACATCGGTCTTTAATAATTTTTTTATAAAATTAAGCGATGTTTTTTATATAAAGTAACATCTTACGTTTGTTTAAAAATGTTCTTTATTTATCAAAGCTTGCAAGTTTTAGTTTTATCTAAGCTAAAATATTTTATAAATAAAAAAATTAATTTGTTTAATACCTATTTTACATTTTGCATAGTTTAAAAAGTTAAACATATTTGAAACAATTCTTCTTAGTAAGATAAACAAATGAAATAATTAAATCATTGAATTACTATAGAAATTAAATTTACTAGATAGAAATCAACTAAAAAAGTTAAAAATACTTTTATGACGAGGAAGCGAAACTGCTTCATAATATCGCTGATGATGTTTAGTGAGTGGGCTTTTTAATTTTAATTAGTATTTAAAGCGGAAAAAATATAACGAGTTTTTAGGAATGGCAACTTAAGCGAAAATAATTAGATTTAGTGAACCAATATCTAAAAATTTTCTTTATATCTAATAACTTGCTATATATATTTGTTCTGTTGTGACCTCAGGCGCGGTGCTTGTTCATCTGCGAGTTACTTTGTATGCATAGTTAGTGTTTAGTAACCAGAAACTTCTTATATGTTTGCTACATAATTAGTTTTATTAACTTTAATGATTATTAATAACTTCATTGAAAACACAATTATTTTTGAAAGTCTTTGTTTACAAACTAAATCGATAAAAAACAGATACACAAAATTACATTTATATAAAAAATACATACTCTTAAAATAAGTATATACTAATAAAATCTACAATTTATAATAAACTTTCAAAATTTTGACAATTTAAATAATATATATTTATTAATTTAGATTTATTTATTTTTGTAAACAAATAATAATAGTTTATATGATTTATGGCTTTGTAGATTGTGAGATTTGTAGTGAGAATTGATAATATATTCTTATAACAATCTATGCTAGAAATCTCATAACATAACAAATCGTGGATAATATAATTTCTAAAACATTTCAACAGAATACTCTAGAACTTTATTTCGCTTAGTCAACGTATTTTTTGAACCAATAGAATTAGTTTGTTCGTTAATTTGTTGAGTTTTTAGAGTTCGCGAATATTCTTTTCATTCTTCCACACCAAGATGTTTTGTGAACATTCAATTTTTTTATGTTTCCGTGTATGTCCATAAAACCAAAATTTATTGTTTCGTACATAAACTTAAATGTTCTCAAAACAACTAAAAAACCTGGCCAGTTTTTCGCAAATAAATATAATTTCCTTGGTCAGGAAGCGGGAGTGATCGCTCTCAAATACTGACCACGGAAATTATATTTATTTGCGAAATATATATATATATATATATATATATATATATATATATATATAGCTCCCCAAAATCAATCTAAAGAAATCTTACCCTTAATTACAAATTTTTATAGCAACTTGAATTGTCAACCTTTCATAACCAAAACCAATCATTTACTTAATCTATTTTTAAATGAAAAAGTAAAGGAAGTTTTTTCAAATATCCAGCCAGTAATTGAATTTAAACAACAACCCAATTATTTAAGAATACTGACCTCTGCAAAGTTCCATTTAATTGAAAAAGAAATAGGACTATTTAAATGTAAAGATAATTGTTGTAATATATGCAAATTCTACCTTCAAGAAGTTAAAACATTTACAACATCAAATGGTTTTGTATGGGACATAAAGAGTCATATAACTTGCATTAGTAAAAATGTAATATACTATTTAAAATGTCTATCTTGTAATATGAAAACTACATACGCTGTAATATGAAAACTACATACGCCGGAAAAACTAAAAATTTAAGACTCCATACGATTGGATATATTTCTAGTTGTAGAACCGGACAATCAACAGATAGATTTGATAATCATGTTTATTATTGCCAACGTGTACATAATACAATTATAGAACCTTTCTTCCAACTTTTTTTTTTTTGGAACTCAAAAATGAAAAAAATTTAATTTCCTATGAAAAACATCTCCACAAACAAAAACATGACACTTTTAAATGATAATTATAAAAATTAAAAATTAATAAATGAAAAAAATCAAAAAATGGCTCCAACAATAAGGAGTTAAAATATCACTGTATAATTTTTTGAAACAATTTTTAACAGAATAAAGTGCTTCATCAACGTTTAAAAATTCAAAAAATTGACTATATTAGTTATAAAGATTAAACTATTTTAAAATTTATCAGAAAATTTTGATAACATAAACAGCACTACTGATGATTTTTTGAAAGGCCTCTAGTACTAAAAAATATTAAACTTAAATTTAGTGTATCTTACTTTATAGTAACAATAAAAGAAAGAAATATTTTTTAAGCAGTGTTTATTTGTTTGATCACTATATATATATATATATATATATATATATATATATATATATATATATATATATATATATATATATATATATATATATATACACAGCTGTCACAAATAAAAAAGAGGCAATATGCAAAAAAAAAAAAAAAAAATTATTTATAAATATTTTCTTAGTAATATCTATATTTTAAATGTGTTTTCTTATATTTAAGGAAACATTTTCTCATTTCTAATTAAAAAATTTTATTTATGAACCTGGTCTTTCTTGGATACCCAAACCCCTTTCTGGCTCTGAACACTATATAAAGGGTAAACAGATTCTATCTATAGACCAGCCTCATACCCCTCTTCATCTATTAGGCTAGTGCAGATGTATTTTTAATACATTGTTTTTAGTTTAGGATGTTTAATCTTCATAACTCAATGCATGGGTTTTGCTTGCATATCATTCTATTATCTCCTAATGAGGGTACAGCTCTAAAACTCAGTTTTATGGTTCTGAGGCTGGCTGATAGTCAGGTTTCCAAACTCTGTAGTAGCTCTCAGAGACGCTGATTCCATCAACAGCTGAAAATATCAGAGTACTAACAGTGCCATGTTGCACATGGATGGTGTTCCTGTTTGTACTTTTGGTGTGCATTGTCAAGGCCACATTTGGAGCCCTTTGTAAAGACTTAGGGTTTATTAACAGTAATGAGGCAATTGTTTGGACTATTAAATAATCTGTATTACATAGCACTACATTGATAGTACTGAGTACTATCTATGCTTTGAGTCAAGTTCTTTAAAAAATTTAAAATGACTAAAGTACCAAAAACTATAAAATACAAAAAACAATTGTCAAAACATTGCAAAGTTTACCAAACCTACTTACTATTGACCTACTTGCTTTTTTTGAGACTAATTCGAGTTCAACTGTCTCATCTTGTGATCTTAGTGTTGACGGTTATCTTCCTTTAATTCATAAAGACTCCAATATTTAGATTTTAGGCATGAAGATTCATAAGAAATCACCCATTTGTCAAGAAACTAGGTTTGAATACACAGAATATTCTTTTGTGTGCTTTTGTTTAGCATCACTTCACTCTATGACCGTTCTCTTTGTTCTATATCACTCTCCTTCATCTCAAGACTGCATAAGAAATAACATTTTTTCAATTTCTGATCAAATTGACCAAGCACTCTCTATTTATCCACCAGCCAATATTGTTGTTGTTGGTGACTTTGTGATGGCCCTTGGGTAGAAATCTTTCGTCTTCCTGCTCACAAATGTGCTTCTTACATAACTTTGTGGATTTAGGCTGGCATGGAATCTTTTATTCCCTTTCAACAATTACAAAACAAGCCTCACTCTTCTTCATGGTTTTCCTCACATTGTGCTGCTGCAATTTCCAATCAAAACCATTACTTCCATATCTATCTGAAAAACAATTCTCCAGAAAACAGATATCTGTTTACTATTGCTAGAAACCATTGTAAAAAATTTTTATCTAGCACGAAAGCCCGCTATTCTCAGGTCATGTCTTGTATTTCATCACAAAAATTAGGCTCTCGTAACTTCTGGAGATCTTTAACAGTATCAATAATAGGGGCAATCTGTTATTCCACCTCTCTTATATTGTTCAGACTTTGTCACCTCACCTAAAGAAAAAGCTGAACTGTTTGCTATGAACTTTTCATCAATATCATCTCTTGATTCCACTAGTTGCATTCTACCTCAGGCCTTGCGATAAAGCGTCAGGCGATGTGAATTTTACGTCGTCCAAGAGCGATTTTGCGTGTAGCTAGGGCTATTTGCGTCGAGCAAAAAATTTTTTGTTTGAGTATATTTAAAGATATTTTTGAGCGGAATTTTAATGAAGTAATTTACGATTATTTTAACATTTAATAAAGTATTTTAAAAACCGCATGCAGTTAATTTTTTCATCAATTTCTAAAATTTTGCTGAGTAATAGAGGGTAAGAAAAAGCTTGTTGGTATATATTTCAGTGTTCCTGAAACACCAGCTCTTGGTTCATCTTAAACCAAAATCTTCAAACATTCTATCATAAATAATTTTTTTTTCTTAATAAGTGATGATCTTTTAAAACCTTTTTTACTTTCCAAGTTTCTGAATTTATTTTGCATATTTCATATAGAATTTTTCCAAAATTCTATATGAAATATGCAAAATAAATTCAAAAAACCTAATCCAAGCATGTAGTGGTGAAATGCCATAGCACAATGCCTGCCCATATGTAACAAACCTTTCTTTAAAGATTTTTAGATCGCTCATCATGTTAGATGTGGCGTTACAAACCAGACAACATTGTGTTCGTGATGTAAACTAAGATTTTCCTATCAAACATTGAAAGGACAAAACTATAGTTGATAAAAACATATTATGCCCTGGAATTTAAACTTTAACAGGATATAAATTAAGAATTTCTTTTTCAATTTCCTCTTTAATTTTTAATACTACTTCTTTATTTGCCTTTATATACTCAATCATAATTAGTCTCAAGTATCTATCACTATGAGACATGTTATTCCATAAAATATTGTTTAAATCTGATTGTACATATAGTCGAAGAGGTGATGTTGCTGTGACTAATAGATCCAAATCTTGAAGATTTTTTTGGTTGGAATTATTAAAACGTTGATGGTATTTTGAGTGACTTGATGTTCTGTCCATACCCCAACTACTAATTACTATTAATTAAAAAATTTTCTTTGCCTGGCATTTGTTTCAGTTTCTTCAATGGATGTTTTTAAAGGTGATCACTTGTTTTTTATTTGGCAAATTACTCGATAAGATGGAAATCTGCATGGTGCTTCTTTATGAGTATTTTCATAAACATTTTTTAAAAGTTTGGAAATAGAAGAATCTTATAATCAAATAGAAGATCTTGAAACTTAAATAAAAAGAAACTTTTAAACAACATTTAAAAATTCATGTGGTTTTTGGTCCATTAGTGGGACATCAAAAATGCAGTTTAGAATTATTTTTTAAAACTAATTATGTATTTTAAAACCAAAACTTTTTTCCCTTCAAGAACAACACGAAAACAAATTTACTTTAGTTTTTCATGCCTTAAAGTTCTTTTTACTTTTAGTAATAAGTGAAAAAATTGTTTTTACTCGAATAAGTTTTTTATTTGTTTACAAAAATATCAATTTTTCAACTTATTTAGCGCTCAAGATCGCGAATAAACGCAGCCACACTTCTCAGGATAGTTAGTAGACACTATAGACTAAAAAATATCAAAATATGGAAAAGGTACAAATTGGAACAATTTTTTCATCAAAGTTAAAACTTAGTACTTTTGTGATGAATTTTTTTACTTTCAATGCTAAAAATTGTACCAACTTTTTTATTTTTATTTTTACCAGTCTATATATATACCTGTTAAATGATGTATATATTCTCAATTTTTCAATGATCTATATATTATAAATAGAATAACTATCAAAATGATCTATATATTAAAACTATCAAAATCCAGAATCTTGAGAATTTTTATCAAAAATTCTTTAAAAACCTAACCTCAAGAAGCCACTACCATTTAGCCTGTAACATTTAGAATTTCATAAATTGGAAATATCTTAGTGAGGGTATTAGTAACAAAACCCACTATCAGACATAATGTTTGAAGTAAGTCACTATTTTAATTTTTGGCCATGTGATTTCCCACTGTGCACTGTAATATACAGTAAAGTTCTGCGTAAAGTATGTGTATTACAGTAAAGTTCTGTATTATGTGTATTACAGTAAAGTTCTGTATTATGTGTATTAAAGTAATGTTCTGTATTATGTGTATTACAGTAATGTTCTGTATTATGTGTATTACAGTAAAGTTCTGTATTATGTATATTACAGTAATGTTCTGTATTATATGTATTACAGTAAAGTTCTGTATTATGTGTATTACAGTAAAGTTCTGTATTATATGTATTACAGTAAAGTTCTGTATTATGTGTATTACAGTAATGTTCTGTATTATGTGTATTACAGTAAAGTTCTGTATTATATGTATTTTCATTCTAATACCATATGTACTTTTCTTTTCTTTTTTTTAAAAAAAAAATTACACACAATATCAAAATCAAAATGTCTTGCAGTCAAAAAATGTTTCAAATTCAAACAATGCATCTAAAAAATGAGAAGTAAATGTAAATAAAATTCTTAATTACCATTAAGAAAAGAACTATCAATAAAAATAATAGTAACTGTTGTTTTTTTTGTTTTTTTAATGAACCAAAATAATTAAAAAAAAAAAACTTTTTTTTTTCCTGAATTATCTCACACCCTACACCTAAACCCTAACCAGTAAGTCTAGGTATGCATGTTTGGTCTTGCTAATCATAACTTACATAACTTTTAAATAACTTTCGTATTAATTAATCAAAGCTTATATTTTATATTAAAAAAAAAAAAAACCTTTGTAGCTAATTCATCTGTAATAAAACTTGGCAACATTTGTTTACGTATGCTGTATTTTTCATGCCAAAGTCGTTCATTGCGTACAGCAGGGTCAGCAGCAACAAAAAACTCATTATAACTGTCTTGCAAATCACCTTCAAAAATCCACCGTTCTAACATACTTCTTATTGGATGAGAAACCACATACAAAATATGGCTAACTAACTTACTTATGAAGGGGTCACCAACTTGAGTATGTGAGAATATAGCAGAAAGCAAGTTCCCGCCTTTCTTACCTAAGAATGAGATCAATGTTATACAAAATAAATTAAGAAAATACTTTCCAGCCCAAAAAAGATTTTTGTTCATGAAAATTTTTCAATCAGGATTTAACTCATATTTTTAAATATTCACTTTTTATTATAGATCCTAGCCTATACAACTTTTTCTTTAACTGAAATGTTTTTAGAAACAATAAAAATTACTTAATACATGAATTGATCTAAATATAAGAAGCTTGAATTCAGTTTTTTGCCAATTATGCCATGATTATTTATCCATCATTAATTTAGCTTTCTTTTCTCCATCCTTGAGTGGAGAAAAAAAAGCTAAATTAATGAGACTTGTCAACAATTGAAAATGGGTCAATCAGAGAAAAATAGGTCTTAAATTTGATGTAAATTAACTAACAATTGCTTGTCAGTTAAATATATATATATATATATATATATATATATATATATATATATATATATATATATATATATATATATATATATATATATATATATATATATACACATCAACCTACGAGGGAGATTGGCAAGCTTCAACAAAGCAAGTTTTGATTGATCTCATTAAATTAAAACTACAAGAAATGATGGTGTTTATATAGAAATATAGAAATGATGGTGCTTTTTCATATAAAAAATAATTTTTAGTAAAAGATAATTACTTTATTTAAAAAAAATATATTAATAGTTTTTTTATATTTATAAATAAGATATCGAATTTATAAATAAGATATTTTTGTTTTGTCCAATAATTTACGCATCACCCGTTATATACATTGAAAAATTTAAAAGTGTTTTAATCAAAACAAAAAAATACCTTTGCATTGATCCACCAATGTTGTCAGAGCTTTCATTCTCAACAAAGGATCATGAGTCCATACAACTAATCTTCGTAAAGTAAGATGGTCACTATTACTTAAACTTGAGGAGTCTTCTTGATTAAGTTGTGCTTCTAAAACAGCAATCAGTCGATAATATTCAATTATTTCTTTTTCTATTGCAGCACAAAAACTTTGACCTACTAAGCCAAGAGCCTTGTCACTGGCCCTTGCATCTAAATACTTGCGTACTCTACGAAACAACCAACCAAGTTCTGCAAGTTTACATATGATGTCTCGAACTGGAAGAGGTATTCCAACATCATTGCTAATTTTATAAGAATCAATTCCAACATCATATTTAATAAGTTTACCCTCGATACCTTGAAAAACATAAAAAATATCACGTAACAGAAAACTTTCAGTCACCTCATATAAAGTGCCATCTGAATTAGAAGCATATATTTTTGACAAAAGAGTGTTTAGTTCATCTGATTTTGGAATTTCTTGTTCTATATTACAGTAATCTTTATAATGAGAATTTTCTATAACTTGAGACATTCTATTTAAAAGCTGAGATTTAGAAACCATAGCAGCAATATCTGAAGTGTCTCTATCTTTAGATACAGTAATTCGTGAGCGAAAATTAATTCCAACATTAGCTGCTTCATTTTTTGCTGTATATCCTTTAGGCAAAAATGAAGACATATCAGGAGTAGGATCTATTGAAGAATTAAAAGTACTTCCTAAACCACTGCTAGAAGATGATTTAGGGATAGAGCGTGAAGAAGCAAGCGTTGAAGCAAATGAGTCAAAAGAGCCACCAAAATATACATTCTAAAAAAATTATTAATTTTATATATATATATATATATATATATATATATATATATATATATATATATATATATATATATATATATATATAATAAATCTATTAAAAAATTTATACATATGCATAGATAAATAATGTCTATAGATATTCAAAAATCTATAAACAAAGTTTTTTTTAAATCTTATTTATTACATATTATTTATATAATAAAAAGTATTAATTATTAATTTAAATAAATATAAAAAAATTAAGAATTTTTATAAAGGTTAAAGGCAATGGAAAATTTATTTTAATACTCTGACGAAATTTGATTGTAAGGTTTAAGAAGACAGCGTTCATGATCAAGATAGATCACTGTTGTTCTATTGTTACAGAGCTATACAAAATGTCAGAAAAATATTTAAAAAAAAAATGATTTGTTGATTCAAAAAGGCAATATTGAAATGGGGAGAGGGTTGGAAAAAACCCAGGGTTTTTTAAAAAAACCCAACCCAAATGGGTTTTTTCGGGTTTTATGGGTTTTTTTAAAAATCGATCAAAATACCAAATTTTTATAATTGTATGAGTACAATAATTTTTTTTTTTAATTTCATAAATTTACCTCCCTATTGCTCCAATGACCATTTCAGTCAAGGGAGCAACTCATTTTTTAAAAATATTTTGTCTCAATCCTTAACATTACCATTTTTAATAGCAAACACCATTAACAACTAAAAAATAACAACAAAGGCGCTGTGTGGAGAAATAGATTGCGAGCCAAATGTTTTACTACTAGTCTACTAGCACATTTTACCTATAGTGCAAAAAGGGACTCCATCAACTATAAATGATATTAATTAATTGCTCTAAATTAAAAACATGTTCAGAATATTTTTGACTAAAAAAAAATCAGTGTAAAAATTATGACAATTGAGTTATTCAAAGTTGGTAAGACAATATAAATGTTGCAAACTAGTTTTTTTTACTAACATGTTCAACATATCATTTCAAAAACTACTTTGCACAAGTTTACAACATGTAATCAACAAGTTTGCAACATGATGTTGCAACCTTATAAGTTATTATCAATAAGGATGACTATGAACACTTTTTAAACATTTTTGTATCATAGAAGAAAACTGCTAGCCTAATCACTACATTTTTTTTATCAGAACATTATACTGTCCAGCTTCCTGGAAAAGTTATCGGCCTGATCAACTGGACTGGCAAAAAATGGATTTTTGCCTAAACTTTGTTTCTAAATATATATAAAGTAAATTTGTTAAGAACCATTACAGTGTCTTCGCCACCAAGTTTTTTTTTTTTCCTTGAAGATGTTTTACCGGCTCAGTTTTGCAATGCAAATTGCAAACTGAATCAAAGTAACACATTATATAGCTCTATTGTGTGTGTGTTTCTTCACCTTTTAGCAACTTGATACTGATGTTAATTTTCAACCCGCTGTTCATAGTCACCCCTGTTGGTGGTACATGTTGTAAACTTGTAGCTGATGCAAAGTATTTAAAACCTGTCAAAAGACAGATGAGCACGAGTGTCATTTTTACCAACAAATCTTGTCCTTGTGAAATGCATACAAGTTTTCAACATGTTCTCTCATTGAATGAGCAAACATGTTGCAAGCTTGCTTGCACATAACTTAATTATTTTTAAGTTTTAAAGTTGTATGCACTTAAGGACAAATCTAGTAAACTGTAGCTAAACTGTAAATAAAGTTTAATAATTTTTATATATAGTATTTTGCTTGTGGCTTTGTATTTTTTTTTTGCAGTTTACAACATAAGCTTTAAAAAATAAAAGATCAAATACCAATATAAAGGAATATAGACATTCGAGAGGAGAATAAAGATACTAAATAACTAGTAATGTCTTGAAATTTAGTTAATAGAATGATTTTTATTTCCTTTATAAGTATTTAACTAATTTAATGTTTTAATACATATTTCAATAACATTTATAATAACTTGCCAAATGTTTTAAAAAAATAATAAATAACCAACTTGCTACAAAAATAGATTGATCGATTTTGGGTATATTCTAAAGACCATTATGTATATAAATACAGTGTTTACAAGAGTAATTACAGTATAAAGGTTGCACTTGCTGATAATAAAGCATTTATAAGTGTTAAAATCAGAGTTATCAGTTGTAAAATAGGTCATTTTAAAAAAAATCCAAATATATTTTGGGTTTTTTTGGGTTGGGTTTTTTGCTAACCCTGAATGGGGATGAGCGCAAGCAATTATTATCATGCTATTCAATAAGGCTATTAAATAGGCTTTTAATGGTGATGGTGAGGTGTGAAATTGGTGATGGTGAGGTGTGAAATTTCATTTCACTCACAAGTGATTTATATTTCAGATTTATATTTTATGCGCTACGGCAATTATAAGTAACAAGTGGCAAAATGACTGACTTCCTGTTGCTGTTGTTGAGGTAGAAAATGGATCAAAAGCAAAGCAAGCACAACCAGTTTTCAACGATTGGTGAATCCTCAGGTCAACAATCAAGAAATGAAAGTACTAATAGCAGTTCTGTTGATTTACCAGAAAACAAGAATTAAGTGCCATATAAAAGAGAAGAGTTTAACAAGTGTGGCAAAGAAGAAAAACATGGCAACAATTTAGTTTCCAAAAAACCTGTTTAAGAGTGCAAAAATTGTAATCAAGGTAAAATTGATAAGCTGTAACACATTTGCTTGTTCAATCCTATTTTCTGCATAAAAGCATGGCTTTCAGCACATTCGGCAGCAGATGAATCCGTGAATGATCTGCAGTTGTGGAATGATCTCATTTGGAATAAAAGTTTTGATCCAGCCGTGGCACAAGCAGCTATGACAGTATAACAGTCACCTGTGATACCTCAAAGAGATAGCACTGACTCCAAATCAAAGAAAGTCATTCAGCAACTTCTGAAGCATGAAGGCGATGCCACTAGCTATCTTCAAAAGGAAGTGCCAATATTTTCATAGCTGTCAATTTCTTCACCAATACAGCTGCTGTCAGACTGTTCAGACTCTTGCATGTCAACAGCAGTTGAATGAACTTGCCACTGACACAATGGGTGACTGATGCAGCATATAATGAAGCTGTCATGTTTGTTCACAATTGCAGAGTTGTTTATAAAATGACTGAGAGAGCAGTCAAGCTCATCACAGACAGAGAAAATACACAGACAATACCTATTGCAAACGGTTGAAAAGCAATGACATGAAATCTCAAATTTCAAGAGGACAACATGTGATTCTCTGCCCTAATTTTAGCTTATTGGTGCAGTGCACATCTCTTGTGTTTGTAGTATTTTAATTTTATGAATTAAGTTTTTATTTTTATGAGTAAACATTTTAATTTTATGAACTGTAAACCTTCAAGAAACCATTACAGGACTGTTATATAATATTTGTAATTGATTACTTAAATAATTTGAAAAACAATAAAATTTTTGACACTTTTGTCCTTTTCATTGGCTTGGTGGCAAGGCTAAACTTTTCTTTGGCTTGTTGGCAAGGCTAAACTAAAGTATAAAAATGAAAAAAGTTGTTGTCTTGTTTGATAATTATAAGAGTAATGGGAAAAAGGGAAGGGGGCAAAACTATTGAATTTTTTATTTTTTAAAGCACCCTAACATTACAACTTTATGGATGAAGTTCTACAAACTTTTCTAATAGGTTTTTAAAAAAGTTTGTAGAACTTCATTTACAAACTTGCATCAAGACAGCAAATAATAAAATATTTATAAATCATCTTAATCTGTATTTAATTATGACATTTTAATTACTTGTTGAAATTTTTTGATTATGTATTTAAAAAGTTGTTTAATTTTTAACACATAAAAAGAAAAAAAAAATTTTAAATAAAAAAATAAATATCAAACATATATTAAAATTCATGGTTTACTTGGAGTTTCAGTATAAGCCATAACCCATGAACTGGTTTAGCTCATGGTGACCAAGGATGAAAATATAGTACAGCTGTCAAGTGGGCTGCTTTATTTTAAGATGGTAGAGAAAACCTTGAAGATAATCCCCATTCAGGGCACCCTAAAACTACAGTTGAGAATATCAAATATGTGCATGTCATTATTGAAGAAAATCCTCATGCAACATATGTTATAATTGAAGCCCTGACATCAATTAATCATTTTACAATCAATTAAAACATTCAAAAAGTTCCTTAAAAAAGAAAACTGGAATCATGTTGGATACTCCGCAAGTTAACTGATCAAAATCACAAGAATATAGTTAAGGCAAGTAAGGAAAAAAACTACACCTTTTCAGAAACAGCCCATGGAGACTAGGTAATGTTATTACAAGTGATGAATTATGGTTTTATTTGAGACAACTTAGACACTAACGCTAGTTTAGTCAGTGAAAGTCCAAGAATTAAACAAACTAGAATATGTTTTTTTGAGCCAAAAAAAACATATTCTAGGTCTTCTTCAAAAAAAACAGGTTATGTTTATTTGGGTTGTGTTAAAAAGGGAGACATTACAAATCAATGTAAGAAATCATTTGAAACCGGCACTCAAAACTTTGAATTTCTCCATGATAACGCTTGACCCCATGTTACTCAAACTGTCACAAATTATCTTAACCAAACCAAAATCACAATAATTAACCACCTGCCATACTTTTCAGAAGAGCTCCATTCGATTATTGGCTATTCAACATAATAAAAAAAATATTGATAAATATACTGACGTCGAAAGTCAAAAAAAACCACATAACCAAGCTAAAAGTGACTTGAAAGAATGCAACTTTGTATAGATGGAAATGTTTAAGTTATATCTTTAACAGTATGTGTGAAAACAATACAAATAAGTAAAACATCATGTTCGGTATCATACTATTTATTATTATTAATAGTGAATTTAATTATCTTTAGTAGATATTCATAAACTAATTGAACTGTTATTAAATGTTATTTAATGGGAGACATTCTAAAAAACTCTGATTAAAACAATCAAACGCACAAATGCACATATGCACAATAGGTGACAAACAATAGGTTTGTGCATAATGGTTGTTTAATCAGAGGCATACTTACAAAACAATCAGTATAAACAAACAATAAACAAACAATAGGTTTGTGCATAATGGTTGTTTAATCAGAGGCATACTTACAAAACAATCAGTATAAACAAACAATAAACAAACAATAGGTTTGTGCATAATGGTTGTTTAATCAGAGGCATACTTACAAAACAATCAGTATAAACAAACAATAGGTTTGTGCATAATGGTTGTTTAATCAGAGGCATACTTACAAAACAATCAGTATAAACAAACAATAGGTTTGTGCATAATGGTTGTTTAATCAGAGGCATACTTACAACATATAGAATCAAATATTATTGAACAGGCTTTAAATAAATATATTTGCCAAATTCTTATAACCATGCTGATGATAGTCATACTCGATTTACCAGTTTAGATGACGCAAATTCTTTTTTAAGAATTTTTTAAATTCAAAAGATATGCTATCCAATATACAAGTGAATATCAAAATGCTCAAATCATTATCTTAAAAAATTAATTAATTTGACAAAAATTTCATAAATTTCATAAAACTTCCATTTTGGTAATTTCTTACCTAATATATTATGCTGAAATAAATCTACTTCCAAATAGTCAACTGGGGGTGTATCAACTTGATTTCACATTTGGTGCATGTTACATGAAATGAGAAAAAAGATTTTCACATGAATCCAAAAACATAAAAAGAATGTAACTAAAGCCAACTGGGATACATTTGGAGCTGTGAATCATGAACAACATTGTGATGGAAATAAAGGAAAACCTAAAAATCTTTCAGTTGTTTCAAAAAACTAAGAGAAAGGGGGGTAAGTGGGCGCACCTAACGAAATGTTAGTAAAACCTGTAAAGATTCAATGCAATGCTTAAAATCTAGTCAAAATAATTTTAATTCTGACAATGGTAGTTTAGTGATGATTTACCAGTGAAAACCTTTGTTAATATAATTAAAAAATTTTGAAAACTTTATGTCGCAATGACATCATTTTTCTTACATTAACAACAATTTTTTTGATAGTTAATTTTAAGTTTTTTAAAAAAACAAAAAAACAAAGAATAATAAAAAAATTAAGTTTTTGTTTGCCATAATAAAAGTTCTTCATATCTAGATAACACCAGCCCAAACCCTCAATCAATGCATTTGCAGAAGCACACACAGCTCATTATTTGAGTATAATGTCATCAATAACATTTTATGCAAGGCTAAGTATATACATATATATATATCTATATATATATATATATATATATATATATATATATATATATATATATATATATATATATATATATATATATATATATATATATATATATATATATATATATATATATATATATCAGGCCTTCTCGTAAGAGGCATGCGATCGCACGCCTTATATGACCACGCATATAGTTCTTTATTTGAACAAGTTGACCAGGGCTCATAGCAAGTTTTGATAATTAGCGCGTTTAAAAAATTGCGCTAAAAAAAAAACAAAGCAAATTAAAATAAACGATTCATAAACTTAAAAGAGAATAAAATCCTTAAAATAATATATATAACAAAAATTAACCTAAAAAAGTAAAATATTTAAAGAATGATAAAATAATTTTGCTTTAACTTTGCTTATACAAACATTGCCGTTTGATTAAGATTTTTTAAAACAAACGCATTTTTTCTAAATAATTTTGCGATCATTAGTTTTTTATTTATTTCAAAAAACACTCATTTAAAATGAAAAACAATTAATTACAGAGACTTTTTTAAAAAAAATGCCAAAACATAATTACTTTTTTCAATAGCGTCACTTTTAAGTAATATAGATAGAAAGTAATTATGTTTTAGCATGGTTTTTGCATGCGCTCACAAAAGTATGGATAATTTTAGATAAAACAAATGCTTTTGGAAAAACTTCCAAAGAAACCGTCCAAAACAATTCGATTGCTTTCTTTTATTGAAGAAAGCAATCATAATGTTTAAGCGTGGTTTCTTTTCTGTTTTCTGTTTTACATTAAAAGTTTAAAGCAAATGATTTTATTATAAATAAAATTGTGCACGTTTTTTTTCTTAACTTTATTATTTTCCATACAGTGAAATAATGTTTGTTAGCATACTAAAAACAATTTTAAAAGTTTTTTTTATTGTGCGTTTATCATTAATTTGCGCGCGCTTTGCAAATGTGTAAAAAAAAGTTTTTGAAAAATAGCAATTGAATTAATTTACCAAGCATCTTTGATATATTTGATAACTTATTCACTAAAATAAAAATTATTTGGGATTTGTTTGACATAAATCTCTTAAATTAGACGTTCGTCAATAAATAAAGATACTCAAGTCAACGTTTATTAAAAAAAACGGTATGTCACGCCCTGGGATAAAAAATAGTTGGCAAATGCGACTGTTTCAAGATTTTTTTTTTATAGTAAATAATTTTTTAGTAAATAATTTTTCTTTTTTTTAGTCAATAGTTTCTTTATTAGAAATTATATTTCCATGATAAAACGGTTTGTAATTATTTTTTGATAGCTTCTGTACTCATTTTGCCTTAAACTCTAATCTGAATTTTTATTCAACAATTGCTTTTACTAAGTTTCATTAAAGTACTTGTGGCAATTTAATTGTAATTATGGAATCAATTAAAAATCGCATTTACATTAGATTTGTTTTTTTTTTGCGCACTTTTTAAATGCGCTAATTATCAAAACTTGCAAAGAGCCGTGGTCAAGTTGTTTAAACAAAGAACTATATGCGTGGTCATATAAAGCGTCCCGATCACACGCCTCTTACGAGAAGGCCTATATATACATATATATATATATATATATATATATATATATATATATATATATATATATATATATATACATATATATATATATATATATATATATATATATATATATTATATATATATATATAGTATATATATATATATATATATATATATATATATATATGTGTGTATATATATATATATATATATATATATATATATATATATATATATATATATATATATATATATATATATATAATATATATATATATATAGTGTAAGCCGCCAGCCCTGTAGGGTCTAAATGAAATTCCTAATTAAATGTTGACAAAAACCCAATTCTCCAGCTAAAATTTGCCAAACTACACACACAGTTTTTACCGCTGTTTTTAGCATAATTTAGCTTTAGTTTTGACAAGTACAAATAAAATCTATATTAACAAAAATTACTTGAGATTTCCCCTGCAAAAAGCTTAAAAAAATGTCAACTCAAATTATGCAATTAATTTTTTGCTTCTAACAACATCAACTTTTGCCTTCTAACAACAAGTACTATGTAAAAATGTTAGCAAGAAACAAAATTCAGTTTTTTTCTTCATTTGACCAAAAAAAATTTCATAATTTTTTTTTGGTCAAATGATGTATGTCAAAAGGAATGATCAAAATGCGCTTCTAGAAAATTCACTGTTTCTTACAGCAGTTTATGTAGACATTAGGCACAACTGTATACTTACAGTAAAAAAAACAAAGTTTCCTTATTATAAGTTTATTTATATAATTTTATAAAATGCATATTCAAAAACATATATTTATTTCTTTATATATCCATATATAAACATATATTTATTTCTGCCGCAGCAGAGGGTCTTTGGAAAATTAATTAAAAAATTGTAAAAATTATAAACTCAATAAAATCAAAAAAGCAATATTGTACTGCAATACTGAAATTTTTGCAGTTCACGTCACTGACTCTGATACAGAAAATGAAGGGAACGATTCTCCTGACCAAACTTATTTATGCTGTGTGAAAGTGAAATTGAAAAGAATACTCCTATTGATTGAGTTTCAAACAGTTTTAATAACAATTTTGGAAATTCGGCCAATGTTTAAAAATAACTTCTTAACCCTAGATGAATTTTTAAAACTTAACCTATTAAAAGCAATTTAGCAATTCCCTGACATTGTATGGGATGCCTGCTGAATGGCATTTTTGTTGCCCATATCTTAAGTAAATATTGAGCAACTGTTTTCTCTTTAAAGCACATGACCCCAGATCATTGCAGTAGCTTTACATCTGAGTTAGTTGACAACTTTTCTTGCGGATGAGTTAATGTAAATTCATGTATGGGTGTTTTTTTTTGAGATTTCTATTACTCAGTAACTATTGGACAAAATAACTTTTGCATTTAATTTTTTATACCCTATCAAAATTTAATAATACCCTCTCAATTTTCTGGGATTTTCTTATTCGTAAAAACTCCAGTTAATAAAGTTAAACAATTTTGACTTGGAAGTCTGGAGTCACAGAATCCTGAAAAATCTATGGAACTCCTATGAGCATCCCTGAATTAAAGCAATATAAAGGTAAGCAACAACTGTCTAGCAAATGTTCGCAAAGCTATTACTTGTATTATTATTCATTACAATAAATTACATAATCCTAATCACCATCCTATTTTTTTCCTAATCACAATCCTATTTTGTTTTAAATTGCTGACAGATTTATTGAAGTTAATAACTTAATGGAAAATGTTAAAGAATGCTTTATTCATTTACAATGTAAAAACATATCAACATAAAAAAGGATCTACTATATTAAATAAAAAACAAAATTAAATAAAGATTCTAGTAAAAACATAAAAAATCTATACATAAAAAAGATACCTGATTTTTCTTTTTTCCATCCTTACTTAATGTGTGGAGAAGGTATAGAACACCCCAA